AAGCAGCAATGTGTAATGCAGTATCCTGGCACCAAGAAATCCATATAGTAAACAGAGGAGACATCTCGTTTTTACACAACTGCCGTATACACAGTAATGTTTTATGACCACTCCTTTCTGGTTATCAAACTCTTTGCATTCTGCTGTTCACCATAAAAGACAAAATACAGAAACTATCAGCAAGATTTTTTTTTTTAACAGCTGGTGAAACTTCTCACAAGTGAGATACTTTGTAGCTATCCAAGTTGATTAGAAGGCACTAGTAAAAATGTTCCAATAATCTCAAATCAGGATTCTGTAGGAAACAGGACAATTTTCAAGTCTCTGCCAAAAACTGTCCAAAGTACAAACAAATAAAAAAGCAAAACAAACAAAAAAAAACCCATCTCAAACTGTTGTAAAGTCTAACCAAAAAATGAGTGATAGACCAGAAATGGTGCTATCAATGGTAAATTTAATGTCTGCTTTGTGAGACTGGCCCCTTAACTAGCAGTCAAACACTATGAATAAAGAGATATTCTGCCACAACAGAAAGCCTGTGAATGCATGTTGTTACCATAGTAATGTTATGGCATTTATAGGACCTGTTAAAGCTTAACAACCAGTGATGTTCCTCCTAAAAACTAGTTGATAAAAAAACTCTGAGTGCACATTTATTAAACATCAGTGCGGCACTACTAATTCTTTGATGCAGCTCTATGTGTTTAGAAAGTTGGAGCCCAGTTCTTAGTTACACTGATATAAATCTAAAGTAATGCAGCTGAAGTCAATTACATCAAGCCAAAGCCATAGGGAATCAGCTCTTAAGAATGTGACCCTCCAATTACAAAAACTTCATAAATATGCTTCTTTTTCTATTACAATGATACTGTGATTAATGTCACAGGATTAAAGACCTTTAGGTGTACTTTGATTTACACTGGAGTCTGAAGTGATCACCAGCATCAGCCACAGAATTACAAAGATGAGAAGATGGCATTATGTGTGAGTCTTTTTCCTGTCTCAGACTGGGGGTTACTAAACATACTTTAAGATGAAATCCCTAGATGTTCTGACTCCAGCCTTTGTCATTTTTTCCTTATATGGAATAGAGAGGCAAAAACCTGAATTTTTTTGCTGTGACTTCATTGTGTGTAAAGCAGTTTTCTGCTCAGATGTAACTGTTAGTATCACTTTTTTGTATTTAAACCTCTAAGAGGTTAGGTAAGATTTTAAACCAATGAAGACAAAAGTAGAGAATCTTACTGAAAATGAAATCCAAAAGATGGAAGTACAGTCTAGTTCAGGCACTAGTTATTAAGTTGGTGGGACAGTAGCACTGCACCAAATTGCCCAGTTCCCTTGGAGATCTTGCACTGGTCTAAATAGTAGGTTGTGTGCAGCTGCTGCACCACTGGTTCTCCTACAGTAAAAAACAGCTCATACAAAGCAGAAAGAAGTGTGATAGGACTTACCATATTTTACAGTTATATCAGAAATGAAGGATGTATTTTCTACTACTCTGTTGACTAGCACATGGTGACTTCAACATGGGACAGAAGACTATGCTTCACAGATCCTGCCTTAGCACTGATAAGTCTTTGCATCTGTCTTGAAAAAGACCTTTTACTCCTCTCTGCTCCTTCTAGACCATGAAGATAACAATGCAGATGTTTAAGGGTATGATGGGGACTGATTATTTAGTGTGTCAGGAGGGAAAAAAAGAAAATTACTATGGTGTCAGCTGCTTTTACAATGACATTGACAAAAGAAAAGGAGCCGTGGCAGCCTCACATATCAATGCTGCAGAAATGACACCAATTCTGTGTATTAAAAAAAAAAAAGTCCAAAACTTTGCTGCAGAACTCTCAAAGCACTGAAAACAGGATGTGAAATGTGGGAAACCAATAGATTTATTTTCATGCAAACTGCATTAGTATGAATAGACACTTGCCACATTTTACAGACTAAGCATATTTCAATAAAGGAGGATGAAAAAAAATGAGATTATATATTGGAGATAATTCAGGTCACGGCCACAGACCCAGTCATGCTGTTGTAGACCAAATGTTTTTTGGCTTCTTCCCTGCAGTTCTTGGGGGTCTGCAGGCTGCTTCTCAGTGGTCATTGACATGGACAAATTTGTTGATCTTTGCACCAAATTGAATATACATTCCTACCAAATAGTCTACAGATCAGAACTCAGGTTGCAACTCCTAACCTAGACATCTTGAAAGTGTCCCATGAAACAATATCTCATATGTATAGATCAAGTATCTCTGTGCAGAGCTCCAAACCTGCATAATCCCTGTGTACCAATCCCATTTGGCTCACAGGGCCACACAGCCACACACCAGGTACCTCCAGACCTTTTTCTGGGAGCATGTGCTGTAAAAGCTGACTAAGAAATGCTTCACAGACTGATTTCTCAAAATCAAGCATTACGCATTTGCTCAGAGTAGATAGGCAGAACAAAAAGCAAAACCAAGACAAGTTTGTATTCATGTTTCCTCTTATTTACACAAAATTGTCTTATTGGAAACTTTAATGTAAAGTCCATTTGATTCCATAAACCCCACCTCTGGTGAGGCAGGAGCTTCTCCTGATGCCATTTGCATCAGTTGATTGACAGGTTCTTTTTCTCTCCCAGTTCGCACATCTTTGCTGCTGGACGCCAACTTCACCTGCCTTTGGGAGAGAGCTAAGATCCTGCTAATTGCATGGCAATGGCAGACACATTTCACTGCAGGTGAAATGTACACGACACGCAAGTACACATCCAGCAGTAACATCTACATTGCAAATTTGGCTCTTGCAGAGTGTATGGAGCTGTGGATTTCTGTGGCTGTATCATTCCTGACACCTGAGCTACTTTAGAGGTAGTTCATGTCTGCGCAAGTTGCACCCAAGCCTGACTGCAGTGGGGAAGCAGCATCGGGGCTGTTCTCACACACTTGCACCCCAGAGGCTGCTGAGAACAGACTCCAGTCTCAGCTCCATGCTGGTAGGCCAGTGCTTTCATTTAAGGGTCATGACTGAGATATAAAAGTCTTGAAATCCTCGTTAGAGCAAAACAGCTTTACTCCCTGGTGTTGACCGACAAAGAGTTTTATGTCTGTCCTTATTTGGCTTTATCTCTCCCCAGTAGCCCTTTGACTTAAACTCCTTGTAGTTAGATCGAACAAACTAACGTAGCTGTGGTATTTATTGAAAAATTACACATATTCCTTCTTTCTCCACAGTATGTAAGAGTATACTTGCTTAAATTATATCAAGAACTATTAATTCTAAAATGAATTTTTAAAGATTGCACAGGATTTTCTACAGAAACTGATATAATAAACAAAAGCCTATACCAGAGTGATGCAGAGCTGCAGAGCTGCCTGAACACAGCTGCATTAGCTCACAGACCTTCCCTTTCCATTCTCATTAATATTTCAGGTAATTCCACAGTGAATACACATTCTTGTGAGGCATAGCCTTGTGCTAGTGGCTACTTTGTGAACTGGAATAGTAGTCCTTCCATTCAAAGTCTGGTAGGGTTTCTCCAGGCAAATGAAAAGTGAGGTACCACAAAACTGAATTGCCAGCCGGCCTTCAGAAAACTTCTGTTAGACTTTGAGGGTGCAAAGCAAAAATTCTCTGCTGCAGTGGGGAAACCAATGTGAATTTTCTATCTTTGCTATAGTCACTTTAGCAATATCCACAGATAGGCTGACTTAAAGTGACTGCCCAGCAATATTAAATTCCCCTTAATAGACAGACTTATCCCAGTGGTTTTCAAAAATACCTCCTTGGAATGCTTCCAAACATACCAGAGATGCTGGCTGGCTAAGCCTCTAAAATAGTCCTCAGTTGGCAACTTCCAAACTCCATACAAGAATCAAATTGCCTCACTTGAACACTGTGCCACATTCCCTTGACCAGAGTCATCACCTTCCTCTTTAGGTGATTATGAGGAAAAGTCTTTTTCTTTTAAAAGAAAATGAGATGTATAGAGTCTTCAAACAAACAGACACTGACACAGGAGAGAAATTCCAGACCAGAGGGAGAAACGCTGCTACTGCTGCTTCATAATTGCTGAAAACACGTTGCTTTAGGCAGCATGGGTACAACAGGAACATTTCGTGTATGCCACACTGTCGTTACCTTTCGGAAATGATCTGAAAGTTTGAGTTTGCTTTGATCTAGGTGCCCTGGCACTGACATATTTGTAGCTAAAGCCAGTGCCTCATGGCTTCTGGAAAACATAGTTGTATTCCTGTCCTCTTCTGCCCACTCCATCTCGAAGGTTACCACCCCTGCAACAAGCTGTGCTTCTATTTCAGCAGTGACAGATCACAGCCCAGCTTCTTTCTGTGACCTTGTCAGGGAGTTGCATTTGGGACTCCTGATTGCCCTCCTGTGAACTGTGATAGAATGCAGAGCCACCCCTCCTTCCAGTGCCTCTGCTATAAATAGCTGCAGCCTTTAACCGATGGACAGGACAAGCAGCAAAGGGAAATAAATAGCTTGAAGTGCCGTGGCTAGAGTCAGAGCCTCATCTTGGATGAGTCAGCACAGCCCCAGCTGTACCAGCTACAGGGCTGGCTTTGTTTCTCCATTTATAGGCTGCAAGCCAAAGCACAAAGGAAAACTTCCCAACTGCTTGTCTTTATTATAGTGTGAGTAAAATAACAAAATGAAAAGCTCTGTCTGAAAACGGGCAGCATGCACCTTCCCTTCCCCGCTCCATTAGAGGTTTAAGAAGCCTGACAGCAGTCGGACCCTTTTCCAGACTCTGCTGTGTCTAGAGGCGTGGCCTTCTCCCTCCTGGCAGTGCATGAAATGTTGTTACCACTATAATATTTCAATGCTGCTAAACAATGCTTGCAAACATGCACTTAGGCTTTAAGTAGTTCTGCTAAACTTTATGCAATCTTTTAAATCTTTCTTTCCCTGATCAATCCTGCAAATGATAGGTTTTTGTTTACACTGACTCCTAGAAATGGGGTTTCATTGTACAAATACATTCAAATACATTTATAGGTAAAGCAGGTGGTGGTTATTTATTGATTCTCAGCACCAATGTTTCAGTCATCCAGTTAGGAAACAAAAACAATGCAGTGTGACCTACGCACCAAATAAACAGGCTGAGTGGATGCTGGAAATTCAGGGTTTGAAATACATGCAAGACTGAATTTTGTTTGCATAACCTGTTGTAAGAACAATGCAAAAACTTCCCTTAATAGAAATCAGTTTTGACACAAAAAGACAAAGATAGGCCAAAATAATTATGTATCTTACTCAGAAAAAGATTACAGTCAGTGATTTGTTCATATTAATTAGCTTAATCACTGTTTAATGCTAAGAAAGAGCATTTTACTGAGTACCTGGGAAAACATGGAGGAATTTTTTTCTCCTGAAGTTTTCTAGCTCTTTCAGTCTTATCTTACAGTATGGGAAACCTCCTTACTTGTCTTCAGGGCATGGGAGACAAAGTAAGAAGAGTTTTGTGGAGCCTGAAAAGCTAATTTACTACATATAGATCATAAAAACACATTCTTACCGCATTTGTAAGACAACTTCCTCCACAGATTCTTGTTAATGATACAAAGGGTATGCAAGAGAAGATGTGCTCTTGTTTCTCTTAGCCAGCTGTAAGAGATCACATACACTATGTATTGTTCTAACACATTCTGAAGAAAACTTCTGGTAATACAACCTTTACCTTTTTCCCAGTGAGGAGTTTCACTAATCTACTTTCAAAAACTGAACTTGATTTGGTATTTAATTAAAACCAAATTCATTTTGTGCATATTTGTATGTTACAATTCCTACAATAATTGAAAAAAATGTAAACCAGAAACAAAATTAAGAGACATTCCAGGATTTTTCTTTCTTTATCAGAGTGCTAAACAACCCTCCGTAATTCCCAGTCTCTAAGCAAGAGCATAGTCAAACTGGCCTTTCTCCAGTCCATCAAGTCCATCAGCCCAGGTTGAGGTTGGCATACTCTGATATGGGTCGAGAAGAATTCGGAAACACCGAACAATGAGAATTCCCAAGAAAATAAATAATAAAATCACAAAGGCAAACGTTGTTTTCTGTTCCAGGGTCATGCTAGAATTTGGTGTCATGTTCCCAGATGGCACCAACGTGGCAGTGAATATCTCTCCATCCATCATCCAGGGAAGGGGAAACAAATAACCCCACAGCTGCCTCCTTTTCATCATCAGTATGCTGAGGTCAGAGTAGAAGCCATTTAGATGCACTTTGCTATCTGTAGGGCAAAGGGGAAGAAATGTTAACCATGAATAGTCCTTTTGTTTGTTTACTTCAACACAACTTTCTCCTAGTGGAGAAAAAATGAGATGGAAAAGAACTTGACAGCAGGACTGCTTGCCTCTGCATCATATATGAGACCTTTTAGAAATCCTGTACTGTTTTGTTGGCAGTGCAGAATTCAGCCACCAATATTAAATAGCACTAGATCCTGAGCTGGCATTAACCTCTCACTACCTACCATATCATTTGGACTAAGGCAAAACATTTCTTTCCTGCAACGGGGAAAATGACGGGTTTAATCACACTACTCCAGTGGGTAACCCACAGAAATGCCAAATTGCATGCCTTGCTGCAGGACAGATGAACTACAGCTGATGCTACCCTAAATTGGGGGAGAGGGGTTTAAAAAACAAATGTAGTTATGGTTTTATATACAATGACCAAAAATGTTCTGAGGTGGGATGGACCATGATCCACTGCAAGCCAATAAAATGTGTGTGTCCCCACAATGGAAGGCAACAACCATTCAGTGCCTATAACACTGCATCTTTTCTGAAGGAAAGGCATAAATAATTTGTGTTTGAAATGAGAGAAAATTTAGGAAGACAGCCTGAAGTAAGTCAAGCAGTAATTTAGCTCAAGGGCAAATGTTTTCTCTTCTGACTTAAAATCAGAATCAGTCTTACAAACACAGTTAGCAAGAAAATGTTTTTTATGTCATCAGCTCTGCCACATCGAGAGTCACCAGGATTTGGGACTGAACTTCGCTGTTTCTAGACAGCAGAGCATATGCTGTGCTACTGTCTGTCTGGCACATCTTCTTCCTTGAGTGTCTGTCTGGGTGTCTGCCTGCCATTACTTCCTCCTCCCTTGCACACTGGATGAAATTTCCCTCCAGTGGGAAGGAAGCACTGCTGGATGACACAGTTTAGGCCCAGCCATCTGCACCTGAAATTACCTGTAAAGTGTCCTCAGGAAAAGAAAGGCTTCAAAACTTGTTGAAGGACAATGCTGTCTCAGCTGAACATGTGTAAGAGGAAGGAAAAGAAATAGAAGAACACAATGCAGTATATAGCATGCTCAGGTGAAAATCTCACATGATTATAACCACTCCATGGCTGGAATGGTGTCAGTAGTGATCTATAAGCATGCCTCAGTAACAACAGTTAATAGGTATAACTGGATTAAGAAGGCAGTCATACTGGAATATTGCTAGGATTATTCTAAAACCTGTACTTTAAACAAAATAGATAAAGTATTAAAGCAACAAAAATATTGGAACTGCATGCCTATTATTGCCTGATTTAATTTATGATGGAAGGGTAGAAAGATCAGAAATATTAACTTCCAATCCTTTGAAAGAGTGTCTCAGCTACTAGCTGATAAAAAATGCAGAGGACTGTTTAACAGAGGGACATAAAACTTTAGGAACAACTGGTTTAATGAAACTGACAGGCTTTTTGTGAGGCAGGGGTGGTGAGGAGTGGGGGTGTGATACCTGGTGAAGGAAATAATAAATTCTGGTGATAAATAATCTTGTTATAATAAAGGAGAAACATATAAACTGAGACAGTGCATTACTGTAGCAGTGGCGCTACAGTGAATGCCAAAGGTAGTGGTGCCTCCTTCTAAAAGACCTCTGGCATTCTGACTTCAGAAAGCTCTTCAGCACACACATTATGTCATGGTTTTTAATGTTATTTAAGCAAATGCCCTCAGCTATACACATATTATACACACTTAACAGACTTATCTAAAACTGCAATCACACAATACAGTAACTATACTTGCCCTCACAGATCAGAGTGTTTTAGGAAAGGTTTTCCTGACATTTTCTAGGCATTATTTGAATACAGTTAGCAACTGTGGGAGAAAATGCAGAAGATGGAAAATCTGTCGCTGTCAGTAAAGATCGGCTTTTGATATGCTGGTTTTAAATGTCAAACTTAGAATAGGCAAAGAATTCTGTACACTTTTTTTTGAAGAAACTTGATTTTAAAAAGATACATGTAATCAGTGACTCAGTGATAAGTAAATGCAGTTCATTATTTTCCGTTTGGGGTGAGAGTAGGCACCTAAGTGGGATAATACAAAGAAGACTTAGGTATCAATTTTCATACCAGTGAGCACTATTGACTGATTTTAGGAATAGTTGAGATGTCTGATTATTTTACAATTATCAGCTTTCCACTCTCAGAATCCTAATTTTTATGCTATAGATTATATGCAGTAAAATATTAAGACTGCATAGCAAAGCTGAAAAGAATGTATTTCTCAGGTTTGGGGCTTCCAGACAGCCTTGTGAGTGTGCTGATTAGACTGAATAATTGCAAGGTTTTTGGGGCAGGCAATTTGTCTGCACAGAAAGGCACAATACCTGGCATAACCACATCCTTTGTCCTCTTCAGACCACTTCTTTTGCAAGCTAAAACATAAATAAGATCATTAACTATCCTTTGTGATGAAATGCTGTTTACGTATCCCCACTGATACAAGCACATGGGTACTTGAAAGGAGAAGGTAACTAGCTAAAGACATTAATTGGGTATATTTATAGACAGAAGTCATTAGGCTTGGAAGCACCTTGGCCACAGCCATGTGGGCTTCCATGGTCCTGGCTTCTGGTGTAATGGAGTCCCTGAGCCCCACATTTTCCTCCCTGCCTATCACTTTCTGTTGTGTCAGCAGAGCTCTGCTGGCGCTGGGCACCAAAGAGTCTTTCCAACTGGAAACATTCCCTACCTAGAAGACTATACAGACTGTAAATGGCAACATATCCTTAAACTGTATTTTCTTGCATGAAAACCTCTGCACTCCTTGCAAAAGTTTCTCCAGTCTGCTTGAACTCCATCTCACCTTGGTGGTACTGATCAAAGTCTGTCAGCCTTTGGGATCCTGGAAGAGGGGGATGAGGAGCTGCAATGAGAGGTAAAAAGGGCCTTCCCCCTTGCATGAGGGAGATTTCTGCTCAATGATCCATCTCTAATGGAGATCCCAGGAGGCACAAGATGAAAGCAGTGGTGTGATATGCACTGTAGGATCCCCATTTCAGTACAAAGGTATCCATGCAGCCAAAATAAATAAGTAAAAAGTACATATCATAGCAAGGGCAGTGGTAGAAACCAGATAATAGTAATTATAACAACACAACCTGAGTGTGGTTCTTTTAAGCTTGTTCCAAACACTAAGAGCTAAGCCAGGTTATAGCTTGGGGGTACAGCCTCAATATTGTTTAAAAATTTATTGATGTAACCAAGATTCCTCTAGGTGAGGACCTGCTTCTTTTTTTTGTGTTGTTTTGTTTTTTTTTTTCTGTATGTTTTGTTTTGTTTTGTTTTTTCCCCACATCTCAGATTAAATCATAACTGATAGAGCAAACAGATTACCCTTCACTTAAATGACTAGCCCTGATTATGGTTTGTTTTTTTTTTTTAATGCAGAGGTGCCCCCATCAACTACTTTCTGTAATGGGTTCTGTGCAGATGTGTCTAATCCTTTGTTTAATGAGTACACAGTTGAGCATCACACTATCTGCATCAAGTTGTTATTATAATTTCTCCCCCTCGCCAGTGTGCACACATCCATTAGGTCATTCAATTACAGCTTTCCCTGAGGTGGTGCTTACAGTCTAAGATACTAAATTTATAAAGAAATAAAGGAACAGAGTAAAACTTGCATATCATTAGTACCATTAAATTGACAGGTTAGTGCTTGGCACATCCTAAACTTAGTAACCCTCATATAGTTTCAGGTGCCCACCTGCAGCCCAGTAGCTGAACTATGAGCATAGGACCTGGTTAAATTTCACCAAAAGGTAACTTTTCTGGTCAAGCCATTAAGATTTTTGAAGTTAAAATGTCATTGAATTAATTAGTTGATAGAGGTATCTACACATTTGTATGAAAGGTACAAATTCTCAGGATTCTGACAGGCTAAACTTGTTCAAAGCATCTTTGATTGGTCTTTCTATGCTTTCAGCATTTCATTCGTTTCAAAGTTGACTTTAATTGAGAATTGCTGTATGTTAAAAGGATTTCCTTAGAGCTCACAATTTAAAGCTTCTTACTTTGAGAACAGTAGGACTGACGGGAAGAATGGCTTTAAGATATGCACCTCTAGGAACAACATATTTACAATTACATTTGTCTTTGTTCTGCTTTTTAAAGTGCCCCTTCTTTATTACCATGTACAACATAAATTTCATTTTCTATCAACATACATGTTTATGTTCTTGCTGTGAAAGGCTTGTATGTTGGTGAATAGTCACAGCCAAAGAGACTGTAGGAAATCACATCCCAGTTTGCTGGGTAGAATCTTACTTCAACCTGTTTTGCCAATTTCTGCATCCTACCCGTTCATGAACTTGCACATCACCCCATCCATGTAGTTACAATATGGCACAAATACTCCGAGACACAGGGAAGTTCTGGAGCTGACCATCAGTGGTCATAAATTGTTCCAATATAGTTGGAGATACACACAGATTAGTATTCCTGGCCTCCATCTTTCAAAAACCACGGAACTGGTAACTCAAGAAACTATTGAAGACATCCAGACTGAACTGTGACATACACGATCTATGTGTGCATGGATTTAAAGCAAGTATTTTAATTAAAAACATTAACAATGAAGCAACATAGAGTGGCAGAATCTGCTTATTGCTTTTTCTTAGCAGATCATTCACTGCACGATGTTCTGTGTAAATCACATAAAACAAATAGAAAACCCACTGAAACAAGCAAATTCAAAGGAGGAATCTGACCAGCAGAAAGCCATTTGAGTCACAGGGGCTTGCAGCCTTGCTAACTACACACAAGGCCAAATTTCCTGTTACTGCAGATAGTTATACAGTTCTGGTGACTTCATTACCACCTTGCCCACTTACACTTTTGGCCCTGAAAATCTGATTGATAAAAATTAGTTAAACAATAAACACATTAAGACAACAAGCATCAACACATGTAAACATATTAAACAGGAGATTTTCCTCTCTAA